CCCATACGAGGGGAGACGTAGGAGAAAAAACAGCTCATAGACAAGGTTAGTTCAATGTCTCGAATACAATCAACCTGTGAAAAAAGTCGGACATCCTAGATAGTGGAGATTCCAGGAAGTATCGATGTTAAGAAGACGCGACCCCCCTCGTTCACTCTCTTCATATATCCATTCCAAATGTTGCCCTCTGGGAGAGATCCGTATCGTCTCGTTCCACGTCACTATCTCACTGTGTACCGAGAAGCGGGGAGACGCGGCCTCATCTTTTCTCACTTCTTTCTGACGGTCATCGCGTCTGGTGCAAGGCTATCCTCGGTAGTGCTGAGCATGGAGTGAAACACGATAGCATGGGGTGAGCGAACATTTTATTGATTGAAGTAATTAATGGACATTTATTATTTTAGACCTGTAGGGAGGCCAGTGGGCTGGAAGCTCGTTTGCGGACGATTGTTTTCTCCAAATCATCCTGAAAGACCGACGCTTGAATTAATGGTCTTCACTGCTCAATATGCTCACATGCTTCCTGACCAAGTCAAGGATATGAATTTACAGGAAAGTGTGTTAGGATCGCCGAAAACGCGATGTTGTCCTTAAATAGGCGCCGTGTAGGATCTGTCGCCTCCGTCCTGTTACACTAATCGCCTGTTAAGACCTCTCTCAGTTTTAGGAAAAGATGGAACGAAGGTGGAAGAAATATGTCAGATTCAATGTGCGACTGCGAGCTCAAATGACAATTCTCAATTGAATCGAATGCTCCCAAGTAAAGTCCTTTTCGAATGCTCCAATAGCGTGAGCAGAGTTGCTCGTCGTAGGGAAAAATGAAATGGACATCACCGCTCTTCCCTCGATGTTCCTTCCAGAATCCTTCATCGCTTCACTAGGGCGAGTCAGAGGAAGAATTCGAATTCCCCCTTTCAGGTTTGGGAGAGTCGTGAAAGGAGAGTCGTTGGTCGCCTTGATCTGCGGGGCGTGCATGGGGTTCCTGTCTGCCTATCTCGTGGGATCCCCCCGCTGCTTTTTCGATTGGGCTCACCCGAATGGTTTTTTCATCAACTATCGGTCGGGTACCTGGGTATTCATTCCTGTCTTTGTCTGAACACAATTTGATTAGAGGAATAGTCATGAAGAAAAAAAAATTAAATTGACATCGATCTATGAGGCATGACATGTACATGCAAAAACACTTCATGCTTCAACGGATTTGAATGGAAGTTCAGTAGCGCAATAATGACTTTCTGCTATTATCTATTCGCAGAGTGGAGCAAGAACCGTTTCGGATCGTGATCCCTCACGAATCGGGGACTCATGCTGTCGCCTACATGGGTTCTCAACCAGTGCTTCCAAATTGGGGTTCTCACGAAATCCACTTCACTTTCTCTTCATCTTGTCCCTCGGTGAATTTCACAAGAATGCTGTTTTTTTATTGACAGATGCGGAGAAGTTGCCGACGGAGCGGATGCGGAAGGTGCGGGTCCTGTGTTGGATAATGACCATGCCGGGGAATCACGAAAAGGCGATGCACGTGAAGAAAACCTGGGGGAAGCGTTGCGATCAACTCATCTTCATGAGCTCCCGGCATGGTATGGACGAAAAACAATCATGAACTACTAGTATAAACATCATATTTATGATGGAAGGATACGGTCAACTATAAATATGCAGATCCATTGTTGCCCACCGTGGCACTGGACGTTAAAGAAGGTCGGGATCATCTGTCTGACAAATCTCACGCGGCATGGAAATACGTGTACCAACACCACCTCAACGATTCGGACTGGTTCCTGAAAGCAGATGATGACACCTACGTCGTCATGGAGAATCTCCGCTACATGCT